AATGGAATATTGAGGGGGAGAAAAATATTAGATACATAATTGAAATAATAATCTGAAAACATGTCCGCGTACTTAACTATCTCTGGAATGACATGAGTTACTTACATGTAACCATCATTGTTTTGGTAGCGGTAGAACTTCCCAGAACGTTTATGGAAGTACACGTGTACTCCCCTGCATCACTTGCTTTGATATTCGAGAGACTTATTGTATCATTAATTTTACTTTGGATCTTCATTCCTTTGAAAAACCAAGTATAATATGGTTTGGGATTAGCTTCAGCTTTACATGTCATGTTTAGAGCTTCCCCTTCAGTTACGGTTAATTTGTTTGGTGAGAACCAGATACGCGCTTGTTCGGGTTTATCTGAAAGACATCATTAACACGAAACATGTTAGTAACTTCTGACCAGCAGCTGAGCTGAGCCAAGCAACGAAACAAAATAGTGATAAAATAAAGCAAAAATACACATAGCCATGATATACGATGAATTTTCTAATCATGGACGAGTAYTACAAAAATAACGTATGGATAAAGAAAGCTGAATTACTGTACCTTTTAAATGACAGCATCTATGTTATAAGCAGCAATCAATCAATGGTGATCTTACACTACATTCCATGATCAATAGTAGCAATGGTCAAAATTACACTGCCACATTTCGTCTCTTACTAAGCATGCATGTACATCATATATTATTATACATTTTACACACTATGTTGCCTTCGTTTGGCCGAGATCCTTCAGCTTATCCCTAGTAACCCTTAAACTTGACATGATAAATGTATTATCTGTAGGATTTACGGCAAATGATACATTTGTCATTAAGGGCATTAAGTTCGCACAGATAGTGAAATATTTACTTATATTTATCTCGAAAACAAAATTACGTCTTCATCGTTGGTTTACAAAATGTATAATAAAACAATTATTTCATTCAGTTTTCGCATGATTGTCGTTCATAATCAAGGTCTTTACTGTTTTATCCACCTCAGCCTACTGCTTCGATAGATAACACAGCCTTTGTCTTGATAATGTACGATATCATGCTGAACCTTATCCAGTAAATGTTTTAGTAAATGTTGTTAATTTATGTATTTATGTTATGACAATGACGATGACTACTTTTAAAAACGTTCACACAAGATGGAAGACCAACGATTAATTCTACAATAGTGCATAGAGTGATAGGGGGCACATACCTGTATTCATGCTTAAAATTGACGTAACAACGAGTGCGCACGACATCGCAAACAGGTTTCATAGTTGCAACCTAAACTTTTACTTTACAATGTTCAAACGCGCAACAAAATGAAACAAAAACGTGTGTAACTAACATAAAAAAATATTGACAGATTATATGAAAACTCACTTATTGATAAAAGAGAAAAATCAACTTCTACTCACAATGAACATTTAAGGTAAAATCGCACTCCATATCAGCAGAGCAGTTGAACCTATCACGTGCAGCCACTTGGTACTGTCCTCCTTGGTAACGCGTAATCGGTTTGAATGTCAAACTGTGCCTCACTTCTCCTAACATGTTGACCGTGTTGTTCTTCCAAGCAAAACCCAAGCGCTCCATTTCAGAACTTTCAAGAAGCAGAACTACTTCAGATCCCTCAACGACTGTTTTATTTGTAATAGACTCGTTGCCAATCTTGCACGTTTTCATCAAAGGGCCTTTGAAAAAGTAACGATACGGGTATTAAAAATGGGGTGGGGGATCAGGGGAATGGTTATTCAGAAGCACTTCTATATGTGTTATATTTTAACACTAATTGTATCCTAAATTATTGGCCGATCCGCGACCAAACTGTAAATAACTGTATAGACATGAAGCACAAGTCAAGCACAAATTAAATCGCTCGTTCTTAAACGGTGGAATTAAGCTACACACATTCCGAGAGCCGTGAATTTATAATGAGCAATTCAATTCATTTCGTCGACCACGATGGGGAAGATACCATTTTAAGAACGCCGTGTCCTATAGATTTAATTTTTATTCCAAATATTGTTTCACACATTAAAAAAAAATAAAAAAAATCTGCAGGTAGTTTTGGAACTGGAACTGTTACCACAGGCTTACTACAACAAGTAGTTCGGGGATTAGGGATTTTTTGGGATTACTGTGGCACAGAGATAGCCTTATGCTATATATGTAGTTCAAATTTCTATTTAAAAAGAAAAACGTATATTAGGCCATCGCAGGCCTTGTGAAGTTCCTTTTGCGGGTTTTGTTTGGCTATTTGTCGCCCGAAAACACTGATTCAACGCGAACTCAGCTGTGTTCAAAAAAGAATCACCGGCTGTAGGGTTCGAATTTCACATTATCACAACACCAACCATAGTTAATGGCTATTAACTATTAACTAACAAACAAAACACGCGCACATACATGAAACAACAACAGGTGGCGTTATATAATGAAAGGCAAGGCCAGTTATTTACCTCTTACTGTAACACTTTCGCTCTTATTTGGTCCAATACCAACTGTATTGTTTGATACACAAGTGAAAGTGTAGTTTCCATTCTCAGCAAGTTTAACAACAAAGACACCGTCTCCATTACTACCATTAAACACATTATTACGATACAAGGAGTAGACTGGGGCGGGTTTAGCGTCTGATGTGCAGCTGATGTTTATCGACTCTCCTTTACAGAAGTCCTTCTTGTCAGGTGTAATCTTGATACCTGTATTCTCAGGTTCATCTGAGGACAACAAATATTTGGATGAGAAATGGCGCTCTATTTTTTTTCTTTTCAGGAGAAATCATGATGCTGGTACTCATTTTCTGGCTAACGATATCAATGCCAAGCGCTCTCGCATCACATCCTAATTAATAATAATGAAAACTTTATTGAGTTCTTCCCCGAAATACAATCGTAAATCTCGCTACTCATAGGTAATTTACAATTGGCTACTTGAATCGAATTTAAAATGTGACAAATGACAAAAAGAAAAGAAAAGAAAAAGAAATAAAAAGTATATTATATCTGTGATACTATGAAAAAAATGAAGACTATTAATGCTGCATTATCTCAGGACTCTTCCATTCCTTGTTCCTGCAGCAGAAAATATCTTGATGATGATCTAATTGCAATTTATAAAATAACTGTTGTGAATGTCGCATTCTGATTGGTTTGAAGCGCGTGCTTTATGAGAGCACATTGCGCGCGCGCGCACTTTCCGTTGCGTCATTCCTATCTATTATTGCAATTTGTATTTTATAAAAGAAATAAAAAACTTGCTTGCTGTGCTGTGTGCAGTTATAAAGCACTTGGGGATTGGCAGAACACTCGAGAAGCGTTCCCCAACGCGTCGTGCTTCTCCTAACACTTCTCTCGTGTTCTGCCAACCCCCGCGTGCTTTATGACAGCACACAGCACGCGCGCGCGTTTTCTATTTCTTCAATTTATTAACTTTCTAATGATGTAAAGGCGATCATTGTATATTGAAATCAAGGTCTTCTAACATGTTGATAAAATTAGCAGAATCATTAGCGAATACACCAAGTGCACTGATGGATAGGTAACGAAGAGTACATTTTTATACTTTAAACTTTGAACAGACTCCTTATATTTCGCGTTTTTACGAGTAATAATAATGATGGTAGTAATAATAATAGTAATAATAAAAATAATAATAATACTTCCAGTTCCATGTAAGGAGCCAGAGACCAACCCAACCCGCAAGTCTACATAATAGCGACCAGACGAGCGAGAATGATGCCAGGCTCCTCGCAAACTGGAAGTAGTGGCGATAATAATGAATGACACTGTCACTGATAATGTCGGACACTCAACGAAACAGCGATAATATTAAATACTATTGTGAATTATATTAATTATATAATAAAAATAAAAACAGATTTATGCGTCAAATAGGAATGTCTTAAGTTTAGAAGACTAGTTCAATAAAATCCTACTTACAGTTGACAGTGATGCTAAGAGACCTTGTTTGTGATGAGCAGTTTAGTTTATCTCGCAAGGTCACCTGGTAATAACCTTCATCCGAGCGGTTTATTGAATCAAATGTTAATTGTCGCGTATCATTCCTGACAGACAGACTGTCCTTTACTTTAACCCACTGGTACATGTAGTATGATTCATTCCCAGATACGTCACACTGCAGAACTACTTTAACTCCTTCCTCTACTACTTCAACTGTTGTATTCTCGTTATTGATTTTACACAGTGTGGTTATGTCTCCTGCAAGTAAGCATTAAACTTTTATCATCATCGTTATCACCATCTTCACCAATCTTCAACATTTTGTTCAACTTTCGTATTTGTGGACGGGAATTAAAAGTAAATTAATCATTTCGACTCAAGGAATTGATAGTGGGTATAAAATAGAGGGCGGAAAAACCAACGAAGCAGAGAACTGTGAAATACTGAGTAATCTCGAAAAAAAGAATTGAAAATAACAACGGCATCCACGAGTACACCCCAAGTATAGACCCCTTGCACTGAGTCCCGAGAGGAATTGTTCTGGGGGACAAACAATTTTTTTTTTTTTTTTTTTTTTTTTGCATAAGAAAAGCAGCCTATTGTTTTATCCCCGCCCAGGACAAAATCTCTAGTAAATCGATGCAAGGTCTGTACAACAATAATAACAACAACAATAACAGCAACCAACAAAAAAGAGCAGTATCACGTTTGGCATGCCCGCTTTTCAAAGGGATTTCGGGTAACAAACCATAGACCAATACAAACCTACAATACATGAAACCGTTTGATTTAAAAAATACGTTACAGACTACATGCAGAATGGCATCCGTTAAATATCGCTGAAGTATGAATAAGTATTATGAATACCCATCCGTATCATATAGATAATTATAAATTAACTGTTATGAACCTCGCGTTCTGATTGGTTTGGAGCGCGTGCTTTATGAGAGCACGCTGACGCGCGCGCACTTTCAGTTACGCCATTCCTATCTAAAATAACGGTTATTGTAATTTGTATTTTAAATTATAATTAAATATTATTTTCTTAATAAATAACGTGCTTGCTGTGCTGTGTGCAGTTATAAACACTTGGGGATTGACAAAATACTCGAGAAGTGTCGAGAAGTGTCGAGAAGCACTCCGCTACGCGTCGTGCTTCTCCTAACACTTCTTTCGTGTTCTGCCAACCCCCGCGTGCTTTATAACTGCACACAGCACGCGCGCTATCTCTATTTCTTCAGTATTATGAAAAGCCACCATATCATTTCACTTACCCAGTACGTATATATCCGAAAAGGCACATTGACTACTTCCAATTTCATTCGAAGCAATACAACAAAACTTATTCCATCCCAATGACCTTGCTGTTGTAGTAAACTCTCCATTGCTGCTTGATCCAATGTAAGTATTTCCATTGTACAGCGAGTAGTTCTTGACTGATGGATATGCATCAGCCGTGCACTTGAGAGTAATGTTCGTATTCGCACATACATCCAACTTGGTTGGAGAGAGCAAAGTATTCGTAGGTTTATCTGCAGTGGGATTGTATGAACAGATTAGTAGTCTTTGATGCATAAGTGGGAGGGTGGATGGAATTTGGTTTACTTTTCGAGTAGCAACATAAATCTTGACGGGAGTAAGTTAAAAGTTGTTCTCGTGTACCATGGCGTGCGCGGTAACACAAATAAATGGCAACAATATTTCGAGTATTGAAGGCCGTTCAAAAAGCCTGCAACCTGTTGCCGCAACAAAATATCGTTAAAAAATCGTAACCACCCGTCATGTTGCACGAGGACAACTTTTCGTGCAACATTGCATCCGCAATAAGAAAATTTTGGTAGAAATATTATTCTAACCTACAGCACTATATATACTAATTAAAAGCCTTTTGAGGTTGACACAATTTTGAACATCTTATTCTGGATAGCCTCGGTATTGTACTAGTGTAATAGAATCTCAGTCGAACGTAGCTTACTAAATACAATTAAAATTTCCAAAATAAAAAAAATTATCACCAGTGACAGAGTAGCGCTTCTGTGCAACATGCAGTTACTCACTAATACAAATGACTCATATATATACTGTATATGTATACTGCAAACTAAGAAAATGTTCTGTTTTGTTATTTCAGATAATATTTGTTTTTAGGTTTTATATATTATATTTACACAATACCCATTTAAGTGACGTAAATTGCCGTTTAATATGGACACTGCATCTCGTCCCAAAGGCACCGTGTGTGACCGTGATTTATTCGGTCAGCGGACATTCATATCTGTAGAGCTTTGTATGGTATAGACACTGTGAAAGCCACTTCAAATAGCTCTGATACTTGTGGATCATTTAAATATGCAAAACAACTTTTTTAATGTGTTTCAGAGTTGAACTTCAATTTCCAGTCATATGACTGTTTCATATAAGGAGAGAGACTATCAGGCATTTTTTGAGAGTTATTATTTTTGAAAATCTAAATATTGGAGCGAAATTCACTCTAATAACACAGGAATACCAACACTTTTTACTCAAATATGGCCTGGTTTCTAAGCTCAAAAATGGCGGCTGAGGTAAAGATCAAAAGTTCTTTTCTTTACAAATGAAATGGTGCTTTTTTGTCCAAGATATTTGAAACTTTTACGTATATTTTGGAGATAAAATGCTGTAATAATGATGGATGTTTGACCGAACAGAAAGAAGGAATTGCTTTTCAAGAAGGTAAATGAAACCATTGATATCTAAATAATCGATCCTGAACACCAGGTTTTGACTTTGTCCCTTTAGTGCAGAGCAATTTTATATTTTTATTGCGGAGAATCATAAAGGCAATTACAAGGAATGTATGGAATTCATTCACAAGAAACCTTTTATAATCTATAACCTGTTTGACCGAAAGAAAACATAGACTTTTGGACTTTTTTTCTCTCCAAGTTGTTAGTGAAGAACCACTAAGTATTTGTAAAACACTAGACAAATAAAACTATAAGTACATTAAATTTTATCCAGTTTTGAAATAATCCTTCCATACAAATCTCTCTATTGGACGGCCATTTTTAAAAGGCCAGAAAAAGTATGAATAATTAGATTTTCCGCCATGCATGTTGTCCCTGATTTCTGGTAATGGTGTCCGTATTGACTGGGTACCACTATATTGCGTGCGTAGTTGAACTATAATATTCCAAAGCATTGCTCTTTGAATGCGGCCGCGGTGGAAAATCACCGATAACAATGAGATTTGAACTCAAAATAAACTTTATTAACGTGTCGTCCTTATTAATAGCGTACTGTACCATAAGTGGTATACTAATCAGGACATTTTTTTTTAAAACCACAACCCTACGGTTCTACGTAGTCCTTCCGTAATTATCGGTGATTAATAAGAAAAGAGTTCAGTTAGTTGAATTATAATTTATACTAAATGGTGCTATGTTGCGTATATCAAATCCCTACTTACATTTAACAAGTAAAGTCAATGACTTCCTGTCCGGATTACCAACCCCGTTGTCAGCAATACAGGTATAGTTTCCTCTGTCATGTATTGCTACTTGTTGGAAGACAAGCTTGTTGTCTACACTTGATACTGAACTGCTTCCATTGTAATATTCTCCATTCTTCATCCATGTGATGTTTGGCATGGGTTTACCAATAGAATTACACACCAAGGTGATGGTTTGGTTGTCGATGGTACTTCCATTATTTATACAGCCTTGGCAGACGAATGCAGTGATTCTGGGAGGGACTGTATAAAGGCCAAAAATATCAGTAAATTCAATATTACATATGATTTGAGTGGTAGAAGATATTATCATAGATATATATTTAGCTTAACTTTTAAGCCCTACAATGTAAACAGATCAAATAATAGGCACATCGCTAATTCCAGATTGCTGTTGCAGCTGCATAAGGAGCATATGCATTGTCAGAGCAGCACATTCACATGCAATACGTACAGTCTTATGTTTGAAATATAATTTACACTAAGTTTTATGATAAAAAAATTATTGCATACATTAAATATTAAAGTAAATGATTCCCAGTCAGTCAGTCAGTCAGTCAGTCAGTCAGTCAGTCAGTCAGTCAGTCAGTCAGTCAGTGAGTGATACTTTATTTATACTCGAAAAAAAATTCTATCAATATAAAAATTGCTTTACAAGAATGTCGAGTTAAATAAGAATACAATTTAGACAGCTAAAAAAGTTTATGAGAGTCCAACAGAAGA